AGGAGGAAGGGATGGCTGATGCCTGATAGAATGTTAGTGCAGGGAGTAATCAGAAAAAATTGACAAGATTATGGCCTCTTGAGAACCTCAGCTAAAGAAGCATGTTTATGATTTTAATTCTGGTTCCTAACATCTATAGAAGACCCAAGAGAAACAGCATAACCAAGGAGGAAGGAATTAGCAGAACATTGTCCCCGAGGTATCTTTAGATCTGAAATGTATTCTATTCCTTGCTCTGCTAGAGCCCAAATCTGTTGATACATGAGTGTGCAGAAAGTTCCTATAGTACCCAGTGTCCAGTTCTCCAAAGCACACTCCAAAGCACACTGATGGCTGCAGCTGTGCATTGGAGTGTACTGTCTTGGTATAAGATTGGTATCAAGTGGACACTAAGAAACATTGAAAGAAAATGCATTCCTAGGAGGTATTGCTGAGCCAAGCTTTGAGCATTCTCAATTCTTATGCCCATATTTAAGAAGGGTCAGAAGGATGATCTGGGTAATTACAGGCCTGTCAGCTTGACTTCGGTGCCCGGGAAGCTGATGGAGCAGCTCAACCTGAGTACCATCACACAGCACATGCAGGACAACCAGATGCTCAGGCCCAGTCAGCGTGGGTTTATGAAAGGCAGGTCCTGCCTGACAAACCTGATCTCCTTCTGCGACAGGCGACCTGCTTACTGGATGAGGGAAAGGCTGTGGATGTTGTCTACCTTGACTTTAGTAAGGCCTTTGACACTGTTTCCCACAGCATTCTCCTGGCAAAACTGGCTGCTCGAGGCTTGGATGGGCACAGGCTTTGCTGGGTAAAAAACTGACTGGATGGCCGGGCCCAAAGAGTGGTGGTGAAGGGAGTTAAATCCAGTTGGCGGCCGGTCATGAGTGGTGTCCCCCAGGGCTCGGTGTTGGGGCCACTCCTGTTCAACATCTTTATTGATGATCTAGACAAGGGATCGAGTGCACCCTCAGTCAGTTTGCAGATGACACCCAGTTGGGTGGGAGTGTTGATCTGCTCGAGGGCAGGGAGGCTCTGCAGAGAGACCTGGACAGGCTGGAGCCATGGGCTGAGGCCAACTGGGTGAGTTTCACTGAGGGCAAATGCCGGGGGCTGCCCTTGGGCCACAACAACCCCCAGCAGCGCTACAGGCTTGGGGAGGAGTGGCTGGAGAGCTGCCAGTCAGAGAGGGACCTGGGGGGGTGATTGACAGCTGGCTGAACAGGAGCCAGCAGTGTGCCCAGGTGGCCAAGAAGGCCAATGGCATCCTGGCTTGTGTCAGCAATAGCGTGGCCAGCAGGCACAGGGAAGGGATCTCACCCCTGTACTGGGCACTGGTGAGGCCGCCCCTCGATGACTGGGTTCAGTTTTGGGCCCCTCACTACAAAAAGGCCATTGAATGACTCGAGCGTGTCCAGAGAAGGGCAACGGAGCTGGTGCAGGGTCTGGAGCACAGGTTGTACGGGGAGCGGCTGAGGGAACTGGGGGGGTTTAGTCTGGAGAAGAGGAGGCTGAGGGGAGACCTCATCGCCCTCTACAGCTCCCTGAAAGGAGGGTGCAGAGAGCTGGGGATGAGTCTCTTTAACCAAGTAACAAGGAATAGGACAAGAGGGAATGGCCTCAAGCTGTACCAATGAAGGTTTAGACTGAATATTAGGAAGCATTTCTTTCCAGAAGGGGTTGTTGGACATTGGAATGTGCTGCCCAGGGAAGTGGTGGAGTCCCCATCCCTGGAAGTGTTTTAGAGTCGGGTTGACATAGTGCTGAGGGATCTGGTGGAGTTGAGAACTGACGGTGTTAGGTTAATGGTTGGACTGGATGATTTTAAAGGTCTTTTCCAATCTAGATGATGCCATGATTCAATAATCCTAGCACTGTGGTCTGGTCATGATCATCCTATTGAGGCTGAGTAGGGCCTTATTCCAGAAAATACATTAAAACCAGTTAAACCTCTCATGAGTTAAGAAGCTGTTCAATGGGTCTCTAAGATTCGTATGAAAACAGTGGGATCTTAGCAGGAACAAGACAAGATTTGATCCATTACTTTTTCCATTATGTTCTTGTCCTTTTTCCTTCTACATCTGTTAGCATTTATTTTCTTTTTGTATTTGTTTTATCTTTTTCTTTCCAGTCCAGTTTTCAAGCTTTCTCTATGTTGTTTTCACTTGTTTATAACTTTGCCAAGTTCTTGATGGAGGAGGAGTTGGTTGGTTTTTCACTGAAGTGCTCTATGTGACTAGAAAGGAACCAAATTTATTCCTACTCCATTTCCTTAATAATTGACCCCTATGTAAACTAAGAAGAAATATAACATTTCCTAGTGCTGGTTGGCCTATGATATTTTTAAAGAAATGTTAACTTCGCCCATTATTCTATGACATATAGTAGTTCATAATTTCTAAGCTGAGAAATGTGGCTGTACACTTTCAGATGAGAATTAGTGTGTTCCTTTCCTTTTGTCAGGAGAGAAAGTCCATGTCCTCAGCTGGTATAAGTTAGTATAGCTGCGTTGTCTTCAGGGAAGGGCAACTCTATGAAGATCGGTCTGTTAAAGAAATTTAGTTTATCACAGTAAGTTAGTGTCATATTGTCAAAGGCACCAAAGACTTTTTCTCTTGTTTTATTCTTTAGTTTTTGCAGTGGTAGTTTGTAGCTGCCAGGGAAGTACTCAAGTGGTTATTCTTCATCAAATTCATCACAGTCCTGGCCTGTACTACTTACAACATCCAAACGCTTTCCTGAAATGTTTGTCAGAGACCACACTAAAACATTAGGAATGAAAAACTCTGTGGTAACAAATGAGCTCTGACTATAGAATATGATAAATATAGGATTGCTACGGCCTTGTTCTGATATTAAAAGTGTCTTTGTTTGGTATGAAAATGTTAAGTTAAGCAAGGATCTGTTGTTGGAGTGGGAAGAGGACAGTCATGGAATGAGCGGGGTGAAATTAGAGCTCTGCTGAGCTCTGTTGTTGCAAGTTTGTTCCTTGAATATTTTTTCTAGCCGAAAGTTTACATTACCTGTTTAGTACACTAGGGAGGCACTTTTGTAATGGAGACAGCAAAAGCAAAAATGTGCAGACTTTTAAATTTAGGGGAAAATATTAAAGACCATTGAAATCTCTTTTTTTTTTTTTTTTTTTGTGGAGGGTAGAAACATATGAGAACAAGTTTGTTATACCATGTAGTTACAAAAGCTAATTGAAAATAGATTAATTCTGAAAAGCTATTGTTATTTAGATTAGCAAGCTGGAATCATCACCTGCCTATTTGGCGTCCAAGCTTAATGCTTATGCCTGGAGAATGTTGAGGGCCAACTGGAATAAGTGTGTCCTTTCATTGTAAGTGTATGCCTCTTAACTGATTTGTTCTACCATAAAAAAAACCCCTGCTGTTTTATTTCCCCTGGTGTGTAAGTCACACTAAATTGATCTGGCAGGCCCAAACAGTATTTTTAGTGTTGTTTATATGTATGAAACAGGAAAATGTATTATGCTGCATCCTTTGCCGTCAGCCAACCTGTTTCTGTCCCTCTTGTTGGCTGTGGGGAGGCAGTATAAAGGTAGTATCCTCTCCTCTAAAGGTGGCATGGTTGAGTGGTAAAGCCTGAGCACAGGACTCCGCAGAACTTCTGGTGCAAACCTCCTGTATGAGCTTGGTTAATTTATGGGAAGATTTCAAGGAAGGCTGCGTGGCACTTGCATACATTCTAGCTGCTAAGTTTCTGGTTAATTCAGCTGTGTATCTGCCATGTTATTCTCTACACTGCCCTCTCCCTAGTCTTTCACTGTTCTAGTCAAGAACCCGTCAGTCCTCCTTTCCTCTGGAAGTCTTCTGTCTTTGATTGCTGCCCACCGAATTCTGTAGGATCTTTCCTTTCTCGCTAAGGGAATTCTAGGCAAATGTTTTGTTCTTGAGTTTTCTATAACATCTTCCTTCTGATGGAAGCTAGTTCACATATAACTCAGTGTCTTTCACTGGGTGCAAAAGCTTACATTTAAGGATGATTGTACTTTAAGGGTTGAGAACTCCACTCTTCCATTGAGTGCATGCCTAGATTTACTCCTGGTGTTTGACCTACTTTTTGCAATTTCCTCCCAGCTGCTTGAATTTACTCACATGCAAACATAAACATTAACATCGATGGTGTTTATTAAATGTGAATATGACTAAGAATAATCTGATGAGGGGAAAATGGAGTGGCACACCAGAGCACTATCCACTGGAGAGCATTCTCCAGTGGTGGTGTTTCACTGAACAACGTCACCAGGTTGATAATGTGAACAATTTACCAGACCCGCTGTCTGCTCCCAGTGGACCCACTTGATGAGTTTGCACTTTGACAGCTTAGAAGCACTGTCAGGCATTGCACAGCAGAGATTTGTGAAAGGAGAGGCATATGAGACCTGTAGGGAGGCCAGATAAAAGTGGAACTACAACTTCCCAGTCCTGGAGAGAATGGAGAGCAAGGAAGTTGACCTGTGTTATAGAGATACATTAATGCTTATTTACATTGCAAACCATTCTTTTGTTTATCCTGACATATTTTACAAGAATATATCTATTTAAGGAAGAGAAGGACCTCTTTCCCTACAGCTTTAATTCTGTTTTATTCTTAATATTGCACTGAGAGCTAAGCTGTATTAACCTGAGTAGCGACAATGGTGTATCTGGCTTAATTAGGAAAAGACTGTTTAGTCATTTGAGGATTGCTGTGCTCAGACAGTTCTGAAGAGGCAAATCAGAGTGACTTCCACATCTGTGCAGAAACACAGACAGGCCAGTGAGATGTTTGTATAAATCACCATACATTGATTATCACTAATATTTTGTAGTCAGTTTTTACCTAGCTGTTTCTTCAACTTCCATCTTTTAAGTCTTATTAATTTAAAAACTGCTCATAACTAAGATCTGAAGTCTTTGTGTAGTTATAGCTTTTGATTTTGATGGACTTCTAGCATGGATTAAATTGTGGTTTTTTTCTTTCTTTTTTCCCTTTTTTAGCATCATAGACAAAGAAGTGTCATTAATGGCAGAAATTGATAAAGTTAAAGAAGAAGCCAGTAAGTAAAAAAACCACACAAGCAACTTTTGGAATAGTCATGGAAACATTTGTTTTGCTTGGCAGAAAATTACACCATATATAAATTTGGTCAGCAACATTCCAGCATCTTTCATTGTATATGTATACAATCAAGTAAGTCTTTGATGTTCCAGGGTAGTTTCTGGATAGTTTCTATCTAAGGACTGTGCATCAAAATGTCAATATTATGAAATTAAGGTAAACCAAAAGTTCACATGAAGTTAGGTGTAAATTATTTATTCATTCTGCTTAGTTATCAGCGATTTTTGACCACGTTTTTTTCTTATTTCTATGGTTTGTCAGTTACTTTGTTTCCATTTCTTAATCACTGCTTGCTTATATTACATATATGAGTTAGAATACTGGCAATTACTAGGGGAGTGGGTTATTGTGTGGCCTTGCATAGCTTTAAGGAACAGTTATCAAGCTTATGAATCAGAACAATAAAAAAAGTCAAAACCCAGATGTTTACTAGAATCTGTTTTCTTAATCTGTGGAAGTTGATCTGATTTCAGGCTTTCATGTCATCTCTGGGTTTTGTATAAGTATGGTTTTATATATATATATATATATTTTTTTTTTTTTATTTTTTTTTTTTTTTTCCTTGGTGGGAAGGCAAGATGGGCCATGTATTAGGATACCACAATATCTGTTTTATACCCCATCTGAGGTGTGGTATTCATGACCCAGTAATCAAGGGGATGTGATTCAATTGAGAGCACTAAGCAAGTAACTGAAGAGTAACCAAAGTATTGGTAGAATAATACTTTCCTGGCAGATGAAAATATCACTGCTATGTATGCATACGGTCCTTTAATTGGTCCAAATTGGTGCAAACGGTCCTTTAATTGGTCCTTTAATTGGTCCAAATTGGTCCATACGGTCATTTAATTGGTCCTTTAATTGGTCAAAAAAATTGGTTTGTGAATTTAAGGTTCTTCCAAGAAGGGTCACAAATATGTGTAACATTCTTGAATGCTTCGCTTGCATTTAGTACTCTCACTTAGTTCACAAATGTATACTAGTTAAATTTTTATTTTAAAAAGTAGTCTAAGTCCTCCACTGCTAGCCAAGTCTCCTGCAGTTGTCTATGTGTGGAAACTAAAAGGTATGAGTTGTTACAGCAAAGATTGGCATTAGTTTGTGTTTGGAATCTTGTATGCTAACATTTCTAATACTAACATGACATAGATGTGGATTTGGAGTTCTGTGCTATTCTGGGGAGGAGTTGTGGATGGAAACATACCAACAGCTCTCTGGTTACCTGCAGAGACCAGGTAGCCATAATCAGCTACAGGACATGCACTTGCTTCCAGGAAAATCAGTGGTACAGTTCCCACTGATATCAGCAGATATGGATTTAAGCCTTAACTGCATAAAACCCCCCCACACTTTGGAAATCCACTGTCCAGGGCTGATGGTATCATAGGGCCCCTTCATTAATCTTGGACAGGTATAGTAGTAATTTTTGTGGAAGTTAAACCTAGTTCTTACCTACAGGCATGCAAAGTGCTGCATTTGCACATGGCAGGTTCTATTTCCCTGCTTTGATGCTGACTGTACAGGTGACAGTGGATGGCCCCTGGCCTGTCTAACAGTGTAGTTTCTGCTGTCTCTCAAGGCTGTTGTAGGCTTGCAAAATGCCTTTAGGCAGAAAGTTGTTATAGGACTGTAACATGCTAACCAAGATTTACATTATTATTTTCACATTGATTTGCTGCACCAAAGGACTATTTTACAGTGGGTAATCTTACTCTTACTGTCAATACTGGGAAAATTTCCAAATATAATTAATTTTTTTTTTTTAATGGGTATTTGGCTGGCATCTCATGCAGAGATAAGTGCCAGTGTGAGATGAGATGAGATGAGATGAGATGAGATCATATGGTTTGGTTAGTTCCTTCGGCAATGTGGATGCTGATCTTGGGAAGAAACAATATTAGCATTACCTAGGATAAGCAAAAAGCAGGATTACTGGACAAAGAAAAACAGCTAGTAAACTGTTCATTTAATCTGATAAAAGTTTCTCAGACTTATAGACCATGTTCCACAAAAATGAAATTAAAAGATCAACTAGAAAGATAGATATACTTCTGTTCCTAGTATAAATAATAATGTAAGCAGAGATTTATCATCAGGGCTAAAGGAACTGTAGTCACCTTCTGCCTTCCCTGCCCTGTTGACACACACTCCTCTATTGTATGATTTGGTTGCTCCCACACAGCTGGACAGCTGCAGCTCTGTCTCCCCGTGACTGCTGGGTCATGCTGTACATGGAACAGGTTACCCAGAGAGGTGGTAAACGCCCCCTCCCTGCCTGTGTTCAGGGCCAGGTTGGACCAGGCTCTAGGCAACCTGATCTAGTGGAAGGTGTCCCTGCCCATTGCAGGGGGGGTTGGACTAGATGACCTTTAAAGGTCCCTTTCAAAAGAGGGTGCCACCTGGTTAGATAAATGATAACAGGTTGAAATACAAACTCTTTGTGAAATATCACCTAAAAAATGACATTACAAAATATGAGCTGATTAGGTAACTTACCAAGTCTGCTCTGGAAATTTGTGGCAAAAGAAGTCAAAGAAACCAAAGTCTCCACAGCTGTAACTGTGGCTTTAGGATAGTTTACAACTACCACTCACTCTGACTGTAGGTATAAGCTCTAGACAAAAGACTATGGTTGTTATTATTTTATGTTTAGATGCTATATTTCCTCTCTGCCATAAGTGTCGATCCCACCAGCCAATTAATCAGTTATTGCTTTTACACTGAATTACCATGTAGGTAATAGAGCTTGCATATATTTAATTTTCCACCAGAATTGTAATGTCATATCATCCTGCATGTAAGTGGACCATTGCTTTGTGGTTCATGATTAATCTTTTCCTATAAGAATGTAATTATTCACTCCTTCCTCATATAAAATATACAAGACAAGCAGTCTTGTATACAAAATATGCATTACAAGATTGCTATATGTTGTCTTGTGTATATTATTGTTATATAAAATATACATTGCAAGACTGTATATATTGTCTTGTCTGCTTGTGTATTTTATGCACAAGTGAATATTTAGTATTTTTTCATAAAGACTGTTGGCCTTTGTCATACTGCTTTGCTGTAGAAATGCAACTGTATATTCTGTACTTGAAAGCAAAATTGCAATGCCAGTGATTTTAATGTAAACTGTATATGAACAGATTTTTTTCAGAGGAACTGAAATGCCCCTGTGCAAATAAAATATAGTGTGTCTTCAGAAACAGGCTGTTGACCCAATGTAACACTTCTGTCCGTGTTTCAATGGGAGGTTTCCTGATTTGTGCTTAAAAATAAAGCACTGGAAAACTCAAAACATTATGTCTGTGCCCCTGTTTGTCTAAACTTTGAAGGATTTGTTTAATTTTGATTTTCTGACAGCTATCCCATTTCCATATCTTTTTCAACATCAGGCAGTTCAGTTAAATATACTGATTGCCTTAATCTGTTCTATTAGCATATTGGAAGTCTAGTTGAAGTCAGGAGTCTGAGAGATACGTGTGTGTGTGTGTGTGTGATGTGATATACAGTGTTAGTGCCCAAAGAGTAATGAATTACAGAGCAATATGCCTTCCCAGTGTTAATTATCAACTACTGGTATTTGGCAGTGGAAATCCTGACTGCTCGGCAGAAGAAAGCTGAGGAGCTGAAGAGACTGACAGACCTAGCCAGTCAGATGGCTGAAGCACAACTGTCTGAACTCAGAGCTGAAATTAAGGTCAGGCATTTACTTCTGTTTGGGTATTTTAGCTGTTAGTGTAAATGCCAAGAAAGAGCTGTCATGTTAACATGCCCAGGCTGTTCATTTCTGCGGTAGGCCAAAAGGTAACTAGCTTTCTGTGAGAAAAGCGTACCTTCTTAAAGCCTTATAGCACCTCTGAGCAGTGTACAGGCATTATCAGAGAAGTGTAAGCTATCGCCTTATAAATGTAGCAGTGGGGAGTTTTACTGTTTATCATTTGTGAGACTCTGTTAACAAGTACACCTGGTAGCTTCAGGTTCAGTGATCAAACACATATGCTCCGATGAAATGACCCTTTTCCCAAGAGTGGCAGTGATCCACCCATCACTGGGCTGAGAGACATGTAATTTGATAAGGATGGGAAAATACTTGGTTCTGCATAGAGATCCTGTGTACAGGGCAGGGTCAAGAGTTTGCTGAGCCTTAACGTGAACTTAAGATAAGTATTGATTTGTTTCTGTACCATCCATATAGTCTTTTGCTCAGACTGTTACTGACTGTTAATTTGTCTGTATTTTTGCAGCACTTTGTGAGTGAACGGAAATATGATGAAGAGCTGGGCAGGTCTGCCCGATTTTCCTGTGACACAGAACAGCTGAAGACCCAAATTCAGCTCTGTGGAGAAAGTAAGTGCTCGTGATTTCTCATACAGAAGTTCTTGAAACAGTGTTCCATGTACTTGTTCAGGTAATGCCAGCACAAATAATGGCATGTGTACTGCCAGTGTGTGTGTGTGCAGCAAGCCTGACATGAACCATGTATCTGGATGCAGCAGGCTTGCACACGCACAAGTCAACTTGACAGTATGCAACACGTTAGACTCACTGTACATGTGCTGGACAGTCCATCTGCATGTGCAGAGTGCCCTCTTTGTCAGGGATTTCCAGGTGTTTCTCAGATCAGTTGAGTTTTCCAGCTAAAAAGGATTTCCAAGTGGAAATAATCTGGGGAACACTCAAATTCAATAATCTATGAATAAATAGTAAAGGGAAGCTTCTTTGTGTGAGTATAATGTTATGAAACCAATTCAGATCTCTCCTGCTAGGAAGTAACTCCCCAGCTTTGTAACATTATTCACTGGGTTTTTCAGGAGCTAAACATAGTCCCAAATGTTCCTGTTTCCAAATCATCTGCCCTTCTGCTTGGGAATTCAGGTTCTTTTTCTCTCCAAGTGTCATGTCCCCGTTGCAAAATGAGAGATAGCCTACTTCTCATCTTTTGTCATGCTTTTTTTCCCCAAAAAAAGTAAATGCTATAATGCTTTGCCCCAGATGTCACGCTGTCCCGTGATATCCCATCACTCAGGAGAAAAACTCTTAACACAATACTGAACTAGTGCATCTTGGCAGAAGGAAAACAATTTTGGGAAGAAAAATAATTAGTGTTTTCAAGGAGGTACTATAAATAGAAAAAAGAAAAAAAAAATCACAGAGCCTGCCAAAATGATGTTCTGACTGCACAGCTAAAGAACTGACTCCTTTGAGGCATAACCGGTTTAATTCATTAGACCATAAGAATTGCTTTTGCAGAACACTTTGAAGATCCATCTATCCCTGTATCCTGTCTCTCATTGAAGCCAACTCAGGATGTTTCAAAGGCATAAGCTTCCTAATAATACATCTGATTGTTCACAGTCACCTCATAGACACTATCTCATACCCTGAAGTTTAAGAGATTGAAAATTCTATAAAGATTATCCTGACTAATATAACTACAGCTGCTGCTGGTACAACCATAGACTATTTTTTTTAAACTCATTGAACTACTTTCCTAAATAATTTCCAGCTGCAGTTAATTCTGCAAGGTAATTATTTATACCTCCTTTCAGTAAAGTATTAGTTAAGCATAGTTTGATGCGGACCTGCTGAAATGAGGTGGTGTAGTTTAACCACAGCTGGCAACTAAGCACCACCTAGCTGCTTGCTTGCTCCCCTCACAGTGGGATGGGGGGGAGAATCAGAAGGTAAAAGTAAGAAAACTCATGAGTTGAGATAAAGACAGTTAAGCAAGGAATTAATTCACCATTTCCTATCAGCAGGCAGGTGTTCAGCCATTTTCAGGACAGCCAGTCTCCATCACATGTATCGGTTACTTGGGAAGACAAACGCCATCCCTCTGAAACATCCCCACGTTCCTCCTCCTTCCCCCCAGCTGTATATGCTGAGCATGACGCCATACGGTCTGGGCTAGCCCGTGGGTCAGTTGTGGTCAGCTGTCCCTGCTGTGTCCCCTCACAACTCCTTGTGCACCCCCAGCCTGCTCACTGGTGGGGTGGGGTGAGAGGGAGAAGAGGCCTTGTCTGTGTAAGCACTACTCAGCAGTAACTAAAACATCCCTGTGTTATCAACACCGTTTTCAGAACAAATTCAAAACACAGCCCCATACTAGCTACTGTGAAGAAAATTAATTCTAACCCAGCCCAAACCAGCACACATCAGGTCAGTGAAGTCAAAAGAACAGCTATTTGCGGGGAAGCAGTGCTGTCTTACAAATGACTGAGAGTGCACTGGCCTTCTGAACTTTGCTCTAATCTGCCCTCGGTGACCCTAGATGAGCAACTCAGGATGTTGGCATGTCTTTGATAAGAACTGTTGAATTCAAAAGATGTTTCTCTTTGGAGCATCCTGTAATGAGGCCCATACTCTTCTAGGAGCTGCAAATACCCCTCAAACAGAGATTATACCAGGTCTATAGCTAAGAACAGCCAGTGTTGAGGGCTTTAACAAAGGCAGTAACCAAAACCACAGAGCTCGTGCAAAGGAAATCATGTTCTAGCCTGAGAAGAGGGTAGGCAGCATACACTCACAATGAAGAACAGGAAGAAACAAAAATAATTGGACTGATAAGTATCCAGAATGCCCGGTGGTGGGTTGTACCTCTTCCTGGTACATCTTTTTTGTTAAAAATACATTTTTATGACAAGCACCTGGATTTTTATATGGGCTTCCATGTGCAACATTCTATTTTAGACAAGAGAGAGCAGTAGAATTCAGTGGCAGCTGACCTCACTGAACTTGAGACAGAAGATTTTGTTAATTGTACAGATCGTTGCATTGTTTTTCTGAAGAGGACACCTAGTGGGAGAAATGGCTGCTGTTGACGTAAATGAATAAGAGCCTCAAAAAATGTAACAGATGATGCTTAGTTGCTAAAATTATTCCACATCTTCTTTCTCTGTGATAGAAGTGGAAAAATAGAAGTACCTCTTAGATAAAACAAGTGTCTCACTGAAGTGATCCTCTGGTTTGTCATCTGTACCAGAAGGAAGCAGGAAATTTCCATATTCAGAACAACAAATTAAGATCAAGAACTTTACTTCAATAGCCTCAGAGTCCTCTTTAAGACTGCTTGGGGGTCATTGAACAGAAACAGGCAGCTTGAAGAGCTTGTAGCAATGCAGAGAGGTAGGAATCAAGGGTTTGTTTGGGGCACTTCACATCCAGGCGTGGAAATGGCTAAGAAATCAGGCAATCTCAAAATACCAGGAAGCAGGAATATCCTGAGATGAGCAATAGTGGTTCCTGATGGTGCTGACTGCCATGATCTCCATGAAGTGGATTAGTGCATTGCATTCAGTTCCATTTTTTATTGATATCCATGGCACAGAAGAACCTTTGTTAACTATATTTGAGAGGAATGAGCAACAAACACTAGACTCTTACTTTTTAAGAAGAAAAAAAAAAAATTTAGACATACTAAGGAAGCTTTCACGGCTGTTACCTGTGTTGTAGCTAGTACATACATAGACAGCAAACGTCAGCCTATTCAGCCTTCCATGATCAAAGAATAATTTCGAATTTAATTTAGTCAGTGGTGTTTGCAGGCACAACTTCCTTTGACCTCAAGCGCTCAAGAGAGTTACTGTCATTTCCTTCCTGTGTTTCTTCCTTTGTTGCCTGGACTGCCATTAGGAGCATTACTGATAGGACAGCAGTGCAAGGCAGTCCTGACAGCATGTGTGTTCAGCTCAACTGGTTAAAAACTCACAAGCAAACAAGAGGTACCACGAATTTTGAAAAGTTTTCTTGGATGACCAGAGCCTAACCTCTGCTAGACTCCTGCTAGTTTTAGCACACTTCTACCACATTGTCTTTTTTGTCTCAGAAGTGCTTCATGATGAAGCAGTTTCACAGAAGTGAAATGCTGTGGTCTAATTCCAACCCTAGTTATGTAGCTTACTGCAGTATTTAAAGTAAGGCTGGAATGATGCTGTCAAAATTAACTGTAAGCAAGGTAAGAATAAAGCCTTATGTTTAGATGCTGATCATTTAACTGATAATACAGAATACTTTTTTTATAGTTTCTCATCCAAAGAACAACTATTCCTCAAGAACACCATGTAGCTCGGTGCTGTCTTCAATGACCTCGCATGCAACAACTGGCAAGCAAAATACGCACATCCGAAAGTCCTCTAGTAATGCCAAGAACTTTGATAATAAACCAGCCAGCACTAAAGTACAAAGTCATCTTTCTCCCAATCCTACCGAATCTTCTTCCCAAGTAATCCCAACAAATAAGCAGGTAAGAAACCAGTTATGAATGAAATTGAATTATTTCAAGAACTTCAGAAAAATATGCAGCGTTGAAAATTGTTAATACAAAACCAAATACTGGTTTGCAGTCCATATATTTAATTAATATTTTCTGAAAACATGCAAGTATATGTTTTTCCAGCTTCATTTTCAAGGCAGTGTGAACATACAAGGTGGAAATACCAAAAATGCCATACCAGCAAAGGCAGTGTCTGGTGTTCAGAAGTAACTAGTGGCAGTTAATAAGACTGAAAAAAGAAAAACTGTCCATAATAGGTGATTGCCCTACATAATACAATGGTGAAACACTTATCCCTAATCCTTGAGAAATGATCAGTTGATATGCTGTTGAAGGATGAGTATTAAATAGACCTTGAAAGTGGAATCCTGTCAGGTTTAAAAGCATATTATTTCAGAAGCATGTATAATACAGCTTCTAATATTGTGCTCTATTGGTAGCTACTTCATTATAAGAGCACCTTAGAACGTCCTTGTGCTGTTGTGCTTAGGGAAAGCTGCCAACTGAAGTTGGTCTGAATATTGTCCAGGTAGGGATTTTTGGCTCAAATAGGTGCCTGGAGAGAAATGTAGGAGTGTTATATAATGTCAGTGAAGGTATAGAATCAGCTGCCCTGGCAGTCATGCAAATAAAGCAATTCAGCCAGTTACTGATAAGGATCAAAGCTTCCTCTGAGCAAGATCCCACAATGGACATCTCTTCCATCATGTGGATTCTTAACTTGACTTTAATTTACATGTGAATTTCTTTCTTCCTGCAGTCTTACTGTAGTATTTACACAGTACTTTACTAGGAAAGGCATTTTCATGATTTTGGAAGAAATCCATCAGTATCAAGTTCGTAAGTGTTTCTTAACTGCTGCTGTTGAGATGCTTAGTATTTCATCCCCTTTTTTATATTGTCTTGAATCGTGGCAGATTTTAATTTGGCATCAGTGGTGAACCTACCATCTACGTTTCCAGGCTACTCAGATGTGGCATATTACTCATAGTTCAGTTTTCAAGTGTTATTTGCTCCGGCAACAATCAAAACTGTATAGTGTTTTCCCTCTCCTAGTTACACTGAAAATTTTATTCTGCAATTTTTGTTAATTCTGATTGCTGTATTTGTTATCTTGTTAGAAGGATTCAAATAACCTAACATCTATCCAATTTCTATCTGGGTAGAATGGGCCTCCTAGCCAGAGACGAAGATTCAACCCACAGCACCAAAACGTCCGGCTCAATGGATCTCTTAAATCACAAGGTGCCAGTAATGAGGCAGATCAAAATAATGTGAAGAGTGGTTCCAGGTCTGAACACAGAAGACAGCAGCATAACAGCTTCAGATCTAAAAATAAAGGAGCTATGAAAAATCAAGAGCAGTCCACAACTACAAGGACCACAGAGAATCCGACACATTCAGAAAAGGCCCGACGAAAGCATCATACACCCGACACCACAGACCACAGGCCTTTCCAAGGCGGTGCTGGCAGAGCGTCACAATGCAACTTATGTCCCACAAGGATGGAGGTCTCTGCCGATGCCACTGTTCTTTCAGTGCCAGCTGTGACTTTGGTGGCTTAAAATGTCACGGTGACAGCAGACAGAGAAGTTTAATCTCTTCATTTTAGTTTCTTGCTCGAGATGCTTGCTGGTGAAAGAAAATGTCAGAACATAGTCATTTTAAATCTGTTGCTGCTTAAAACTTGTTGGTATCTTTATTACTTACTAATTATCAAAATTAATTCATACTTTCAAGGCTTTTCCCAATATGTTCACAGTACAGAATCCTACCAAAGCAGCATTTACTACTTAGAAAAGTGAAATCTAGACGGGAAAAATAAAAGGATAATTAAATTCATAATAGCAAAAACCTGTTGTAGATATGTGGTTAATAGCAGTCAACATTATTGTTTTTTAGAGCAGTCTGTGTTAGAAGGATCCCAGGAAGTCTGTATGCTGTGGTCTGCAATGAAATCAGATAATCTTGTAGAATTTTTCAGCAAATCTCTATACATCTCTTTCTTTCTGTGCGTGTATACACGTACATGCATGCACACTGTATACACAGAGAGTATTGTTATATACAAGAACATTTGAAAAAGCCGTACATTTGATTTTAGTTTATTATTCCATAATCTGAGATCTTTAAATTCAAGTATAAATTGTATTAAATGCATTACATATTGGTATTTTTCCTTGACAAACTATTTTTATGAGGCTGAGGAGAAATGCTCATTTCTTAAGTTTGGAATGTATATAGTCATGGCTATTCAGATGCACAGCCCTATTCTCCATTCTTATCAGCCACTTTTCTATGACTAGTTGGATTTATTTTTTTGCATATGAAAAAGTTGCAGGTGTTCTAGACTTGAATCCCAAATTATTTTTCTATATTGTTGCTGTAGGAACCATCTGTCCATAATGAGAGCTATGACTAATAAATTTGTTACAGCAACGTGCAGCAGAATGTGGAGGTACATATTTGAGTAGATACTACATCATTCTGAGTTTTCTATTAAAATAAAAATCTTACTTAGTCTTAATGTTCTGATTCTGTATTTCAGAAAATCTGTTTCTTCCAAAAAATTAAAATTTTCTTTCTAAAATATTCTGGTGTTTGCTGCTTTGCAGTGCCTAGCCTTTGTGATCTTACTCAAATTTTATTTGCTTAATTCAGCTGGTATCAGTGGAATGCTTTCAGCTGAGTTTAGATTGGACTAGACTTCTGCTTTTAGCTAGATGCTAATGCCACAAGTTGCTAGATTCTAATGCATGGAACAGAGCCTTCCCATGAGAGCCACCTCCATCCTGGACATACTTCTAAGTTATTATTTAACAAAGTAAGGTGTGAGAATCCAGAATCAAGTGAACTAGTGGCCTCAGTGTCTGAATCAGAAAGGTGTAAAAGGTCAGTAATAGTCGGACACTTGAATATCTTTAAAAGTTTATTCCTAAGTTATTGTTTGCTATTGCTTTTTATCAGCTTTCTCTGCCTAGTTCCTGTTAGCTGACTGCACACTTCATTAGCACTGTCTGGTTTACTTTTCCTCTGTGGCCCTTGAAAAATAATCTCAAAGTGTAGAGTGAGGTGCATTCCTTATGGGTGATTTTGATTATTTTTATTTCTCTTGATATCTGTATACAGTTTTCCACACGTGAATATTGGTAAAACCTGATTTTAAAAGGCAGATAACTCATCTTCATCTGGAAGAGTGGTGAAAGAAAAACAAACATGCATAGGTGAACACTGGCTTTATTAGCACTGCAAGCACTGCTTCTATGCTAGATTATCTATCATGCTTTAAACTGAGTATTTTGAGTAAATGGGACTGAAATTCCAGAATCTTTCGTGCACACCCATCAGCTAGGTAGCTTTTTCAAAATTTATCTGCTGCCTTATGGTTTGACCTGTAACCTCACTGTAAGAGATGTAATAATAATTTCCATGCAGATATTGCACAGGAATCTTACTATATTGTCCTTATATAATTTGTGAAATTTATATATGTCTCTTCTTGTAACCCCTCCTAAAAAAAGAAAATCTAATTTAACTCGAATGACTTTTACTCCTTCTTTATAGCTTCTTTACTTGACAGGATCATTGAAAGTTATTTTATTCCATAAATCAGCTTCTCACAAGTAGGCTTCTGCAAATAAATAAAATCTGTCATGCCAGTCATAACTCAGCACTAACCTTGGGCTCATCAGTACCAGATAACCTTTGATGTATGGAGGCTCAGTTTGTGACAGACCCAGGACTAACAGGTGAGAGACAGCATTTTGCTTAGGACTAACAGGTGAGAGACAGCATTTTGCTTCAGACTGTGATGCAAACTCAGTTTCTTTGATGAGGGATGTAAGCGTGGATTTGGTTGGGCTGGTTCTGGGAATGCTGCAGTCTCAGCGCACCGAGCGTGTCTGTGCTCTGAACTGTAGCTGTGGTCAGAATGGTATCTCTTCATCATTCACTTGTGTCTATGTATGCTTGGAATTATATCTGCCAGTTTCTCAAAGTGTTTTACTGTTCAAAATACTTAAAAAGTAATTCTTGGGCCTATCTTCAACAATTTCTTTTAATCTTGTAATTACAGAACTAGTTATGTGTGATACTCCTTTTAAGGTAAGGGATTCAGTCAGGGAATTAAGGGCAGGACAAGGCTTGGCTTTTAGGCCAGACATCTTTTTTTAAAAACACCCTCAATTTGCAAAGCAAATACAGCTGTTTGGCATCACTCACAAATACGGATATTTCCGCTGCACTTTGTACACTCTTTCAAAAGTGGAAACACACCTTAAAGGGCAGTATTTTAAAGCAAGTTGGATCTGTTTGTCTTCTATGTAAGATTAAACTCAGAGTAAGGGCAGAACTCAGCAAAATAAAGGGCCAAATACACAGCTGTAAAACTAAAAAGAGAAGGTAACAACACAGCCAGACTATTTGGAAAACTTACATTATTTAGGCATGTTTAGAATAAAAGGGTTTTTTTTTTTTTAAAAAAAAAAAAAGAGATCACTTGTTGTGTCTGAAAATGTCACCCTGAAAGAGAAACTAATAATTCTGAAAGGGAAATGTTGATCTTGTAGCACCTTCCTGGACCCTGTTGTTGTAGGGAGCACCTGGTCTGAGCTTGTACAAAGGGCAGTTCTTAGTGTCTGTTTCCCCAGGTAGTGACTGGGCTCCATCAAGATTTATAAATCAGCCACATCCTTCTTGTTCATAACTTGTGACTACAGCAGAGGCACCATGGCATCCAGAGGTCTCAAGTTCCAGTGCCACTGCCAGTTACCCATGTGAGGATACAGAAAATTGCCAGAAATTTGAGACAATACAGCTATTTTATTATGGAAAACTACTAAAACTGTACTAAATTGTTAATGTATGTTGTACCAGAGACTAGAATGAGTGAAAAATAGATATAGAAGAAAAGGGCAACTTTGAAAAGGGCCAAATCCTTGATGCAAACTCTGAGCATGCTACACAGCTGATCACACGACCCCATGAATTTGCAAAGTAATTTTCATCCAAGAGTGATCAATTCTGGTATAAACAGCCAGATTGTTTTGCCAGGAAGAACGTAAGAAGAGAGATCCACAAAGCTCAGAAAACAGCAAAGGTCTGTAATATCAGCCTTACCTTGTTTCTACTGCTTAACATCTTTTAATACAAGGTGTTGCCCAAAATGAATCTAGATTTTTGTGGGGCTTTATTACTACAGAGTATTTAGATTTTTACTTCTAACCACACTTTGACTCTGTCACTGCAGCTAAGGGACAGACAGCTTTAATCCCAATTTTTTGATGGCACAGCTGACCTCCTGGTTCTATCAGGTGAGAATTTGTTATTCATGGGTTGGGAATAATGCAGGTAGATGAAATCTGCTTGCTCCTGGGCAATGTTAGTGTTTCTTTTTAGCCATAGTAAGATTTGAACTACACAATGTTTTTTATCTAAGCAGTATAATGGAAGCTGTTTTAAAAGAGTACTTTTCTGCTCTGGAAGAGCTGATAGGAAAATAACTGCAACAGTGAAAGAAAAGAAGACGTAGCTTTGGTACTTCTGTGGCTCTTCAGCTAAAAACAAGCCTAATGAAAAGTCTCCCTGAGGATCAGTGGCTACATGTGCCTATCACATGAAATCCTGTTTGCTTGCTTACATCAAGTACAAATGAGTTCTCTATACTCTGAAGCATACAGATAGAATTACATCTGTTTGAATCACATCTTGGTGATAATAGGCCCTCTGAATCACAAGCCCATGTGTAATCACAGAGGAGTAATTTTCTAGAAATTTAACTTGGAACTGTATTTTTCTTGTTTCCTTAACCCATGTGATGCCATATCACTGATGGTTTGGAAAGACAGTAGTGGAAAAGGACAACTAAACTACTGGAAAAGCGACAGCATTTGTGAGGAAAAAATTTAACACATCAAACTACAGTGGTGATACATATGTCAGCCTTTAGAATGCAGCTATTAGATTCTAGTAATCACTACATTACTACATTGGAGTAACTTTCTCTATGATGAATGATAATTTTGCAAAGGTTCGAAGTAAACCACTGTCACACCACTTGACAGTGCATCTGACCCAGTTATAAAACTGTAGTTTACCTTTAGAAGTTTCCCCAGACTATCCGATATGTAAGTACGGTGTATCACAGTTCCATCAGTGCAAATGCAGTACTAGCTCCTACTTTGTTCATTGAGTTAGACAAATGTTAAGAAAACTGCAGACTTTCAAGAAACGGGAACATAGAGTTCTGAGGAAGTTTCAACCTCTAGGAAACTCAAGACTTGCAGAATTTCTGCTCCGTGTTCCAGGCCTCAAAAAACACAGCCTGGTTAAGGAATAACTTGTCCTTGGACTGGGAAGTTTCATTTGTTTTCAGCTACTGGCCTCCCAGAGAATTCTATTTTACTTCCACATTTTAAAAGGCTTTAGGTAGATAAGGGCAAAGCTATTTTTATAGTGAAAGTCCCCATGAAGGTTAAATGCTATTTGGGTATCACAAAACTTTAATATCAGTCCATCAATTGAGAGAAACTTAGCTAATTCACAGGTATAAAAACCCCGCTGAGAGTGCCAACTCAGATAAGATAAAAGGTCATGTTTGCACCTCATCCAATTAAAAATAAATAAATAAAACCAAGTTCCTCAAAAAATAATCTTGCTCTACCTCCCCACCACAGCCTCTTTCTGGTTTCATCTACTGAAATTCAAGTGAGGGTTTGGTTTTTTTTTTGTTTTAGGGTTTTGGGTTTTTTTTTTGTTTCTTTTAACCAAAAGGCAGTATATGTAGGACAAAGAAAAGACCCATTAAAACCACTGTAATGCAAATGAAACGAATGTTACTCCAAAAATACCTGTGCTACCAGAATAATTAAATAAACACTGAGCAAATGCAAACTCAGAAACTCCTGTAGGATTATTCTCAAAGCTTTTTTTTCTTGTACATATGGAAAATTCCATACTTTTTGTGAGCTTAGTGCCAGTTGGACTCAGGAATTTTAAGAATTCCGGCACTGTGACAGGCATTCCCAACGTTTAGGGCCAGCCGTATTTACTATGCTGGAAAAGCAAAAGCAGTAGCAAAACCAACAAAGAAACCCAGCACCCAACTGTAAGCAAACAAGGGCACAAACAAAGCCAGGTTTCATTCACTGTTTTAAACAACTAAAAGGACTTTTTAAAATCAGGGAACCAAATTTGACTTTCCTCTGCTCTAAGAGGAAACCAGGAGCTCTTCACTTTAGTATCATTACTCAAAATTTATGCTGGTACAAGGTGGTCTCTTGCATCCTGCTCTGAGGGAAGGAAGGGTTCTTTGCCCTTTCTTCAAACCCGGGTTCTTCTGTGAACGCTGCTTTGCTGCACAGAAGTTGAGGTGGTCCCCTCCTCAAGTGAAAGTGCCTGCAGAAGGACCTGGGAAGGCCAGCTGCAACTCTACACCCCACAGTAGTGCGATGCAAAATGCCAAGGCTGCACAGGCTGCCTGCAGCAGCGTCAACCCCCAGGTAGATCACGGCACGTTAGGAAAGTAGTACACATAGGTCTCAGGTCTAAGGAACAAATTGCCTTGATGCTCCCTAGAGGTATGCTTCTTCCCTTTATTTCTGAATTTTCTCACTGTGTACAAGCAAAGGCGCTCCCTTTCATTGCTGTTAATAACAAAATGGTTACTTACCCTCACCAGAAGTACCAGTAAGTGTATGCAACTTCTGCACTCTTCGCAGTACTCCGTATGTTACAAACTTGTATCTAATGAAATCTACTTATTGTTACCTATTTCTCCTCGCTTTAAAGATACAAATTAAGGAAATGAACTCTAGTTAATGTTAACTGTAGTTCAGAGTTGATAGAGGTCATTTTTTATGCTGTGGAAGTACATCCTTTAAAAAGGTCAGTTGTACTAGTACAGCCTGTCAAAAATACAGATGTGAGATACCAAAACATTAGACTGCACATGCTGTGTCTTTGAGGGGTTTTTAATCCATTTTTCTTTCTCCCTTCCCAATAGCTAAAACATACTTAGAAATAAAGCAGAAAACACACTTCCATGCTCACTTAACAATTTAACCCTACGCTATTCACAAACATTTTCATAACAATTTTCTAGTAAATCTTTGAACAAATGACCACAAGATGATAATCTCTTCTTGGATCAGATGATGCAAAGCTATGCAGTCTATCAGGCTGAGCCAAACATTATCCATCCACTTTATCATGCTTAATATTCTCTGCTAATACAGCTGGTTCTTTCTTGTTTAGTATCATAGAAGTAGTAGGAATTTGAACAGCAGCACTGTCCTCTTCACTTGTTCTACTGGATACAGAAGAAGATGGCTGAGATGGTGCCACAAAAAGAGGAATTCGCTTTAGCTTTACTACACGGTTGCTTACGGGCTTCCTAGACACTTCGATCTTGAAGGTCATTTGACATCGTGTCCCACTGTCAGCACTCTGCCTTCCACAGGGCACCTGGGAGTTGTTGGGCACTGATGTGCATGTTGTGGATACAGTTTCAGAAGCTACTTTGTGCAGCATCAGACTTTCACTGTTGGGTCGTTTGAGAGTGACTGCAGAACCCGAATCTTTGCAAGCAGCTACCTTTAATGAAGCTGAATTCTTGACTTTGATATGGGTACTTGTTGAGGGACCTGAGAATCTAATTGGCTTGGGACCTGCTTTACATGGTAAATAGTCCTCCTCTTCAGTAAAGTCAATTAATCGTCTGTAAAACAAAGAACTTCAATTAAAGAAGCAAACTATGTACATAAAATGCTCTTTTTATAACATTACTACAAAACAATTTGTGACAGCCATCCACAAATCTGCAGTTTTTTCAATTTTTGCTTGTTTCAGTATCATTTACAGTTTTCAACTGTTCATCACTACTATCAGGCTTGCCTTTCTGTGAATGGTACCATGGATCTCAGTTCTACCTGTGTAAGTAATATTACACATTAAAAATTGTAAGAGATATGGTGCGCAAACTGTTAAGTGAAAATCAGTGAGAAAGAAGGGTGGAGGAGTTACAGAAAGAAAATACTAAAATGTGACAGATTCTATCAGATACAAAATCCACTAAACACTAGTCTGATGTAGTTTAAGTTAAATGTAAGAGCCAACTGCGTGTAAACACAAAAACCAGTTCCGCTATGTAATTAAAGAAGGAGAAAGACAGTGTTTCTTTCTCCCTCCCAAATTTCTTTTCAATATAAATGATTATGGATAATCTTTCAAGAGGAAATTTTTTTTTAAAAAAAAAAAAAGAACCTATTTAAGAAAGCCTGTGGAGTCTCATGGCAACTCTAATTAGTACAAGGAGACAGCATTTTACAAGTATTATACAAATGCTGTTTCTCAGTGTTGGCAAAAAATAATGAAGAGACACCTAGAAGATTTTAATTCCTCAAGGAAATATTATAATAAATGATGCCATAGAAATCCAGGTCACACCAAAACAGTTGAACAGGACATTATAAAACCTGAAACCCAAAAAACAAAAGGTAGACCAGGCCAGGTCAGAGGGACGATCAGTAAATACAAATCAAAATCATTTCTGGAAAGATGAGGAAAGGGGGAAAAAGAACACGAAGACAAAATTAAACTCAGAGAATATTAACAATGCTTTTAAAAATGTATCAAAAGAAAAACTGTGGCTCTGTTCCTGGCTCCTATGTGGAGTAAAACTATTAAAACCTGGTAGTAGGAGAAAGAACATGTATGAATCAGATTGTATCTAGATTTTGAGCTGACAAAGAAAAGCTGTAGCTTTAACTGACCTGATTGTCAGGAATGAAGAAACATTTAGCTGGTGCGTCAGTACTGCAAACAGGCTTTGAACTGTGAGAGTTACTAAAGAACAGCTTAAAAGATACACTGGAAGAGCACATCAGGGTAATTGCATTTTGGATTTTTAAAAAGATCTGTGAAATGCCACAAGGATTCATACCAAAAGAATAAACAATATCTGAGAGTAATATTTCTTATTATTGCTCATATAAAATTGGTATATGGTGACCCTGTTCAAACAGAAAGCCTGCAAATAACCTAGATGAGTCCAGGGAGGTTTCCTCAGAGCCGTAAGGGTAGCATATATTCTCAATGTCTGCACATCCAAGATGAAAGCTTATACTTTCAAAGATTTGGTGTTTTTACCTATATTTCATTGATACTGTTAAAATACAATCAGTAACTAGGTTTGTTTACAATATTTCAAGACAGTATATGGTCTCACCAGGGTCACTGCAGTACATCAGGAGTTTTAGCTGAAACCTGAACATGGTTTTGTTGAGGGTGCAGAAGAATAAAGAAGACAAAGAAGAGATGTGGGAGATAAAACAGCAAGTGGTAGTATAGGAGCATCCAGGAATATATGTAAGCTGTTCAGCAAGCCAGGGATCAAATGATCACAGTCCTTCCTATTTGAGCTATGAAAAGCAAAGAAAGCAGTGTCCAAAAAAAAAAATAAATGTGGGGAGGTAGGAGTTTTGGGTTGGATCATTGTGATGGTGTGGCTCTGCAGCTGCTGCTGAAATGACAGTGTGGCCAGGGACAAGGAAGCTCAGCAGGTTCCTCGTCTATCTAGCAGCAAAGTGGCTGTAGGGTGGCTCAGATCAACTGTGTAGCTGCACCTGCAAAGGCTGCTTTTAGATAATGCATTGAAAATGGAAGTGTAGTCAAAAGTATTACCATAAAACCGTAAAGAAGAAATTCTAGAAATTCCTTCTAAAAAGAAGGCATCTCACATATGTGAAAATCAGTTCAACTTTTAGGTTTTCAGTTAAATTTATTTCTTAGCAGTCAATTTAACTAACACTGCCTTCTACTTTTTGAAATTACTCCTTCCCACTCTAAAATGATGTTTCAAAGGTCGAAGAAGTAGAATAGAATGGAGAAGACTTTTAGCAGCCTAAAAAAGGTAATTTGTTTCAGCAAGTTAAGTTCTTCAATTAAGCTGTCTGATTATAAAACATTTTCTAAAAATGAAAATAGAAAAAACAGAATATGCAACATAGGTATTCATAGGTATTCAAAGAACCTGAAATTATTAAAAAAATTAAAGATTGTGCTGTATTTCTGCTTTATTTTAAGCCACCTATGCAAATCAACATACCTTTTGTGAACTGGAGGCATATGATGCAAACTGCCTTTCAAGGGGCGTTCTTCAAGAGTCCAACATTCAATCAGCTCCTGAGGCACTCTCCAGTAGCTGACACCTGTATTTCAAAGAGACACTGTATTGATGAGCTGAGAGAACATAGTGAATATTACGTGTATATACACCTGACTAAATGAACAAGTGCATTTTATTATGTAGAATTTCAGCTTTGAAATGCTGCTGGCATCAATGCTGCTTAAAGCCAACGTGCTTCTGGGGCTTCCACCAGAGTGCCCAATGCTAGCAGGCTATCACCCCTTGCATGAGTGGCTCTCATGTCACCTTGTTGGAACATCCCTCAAGACTTCTTTTTTCCCCAAATAGCCACCACTACGAGATATTTTACAAATGTTACTGAAAATCTCTGTAGTTCTTATTAAAGTTAATTGGCAAATATTTTTCTTATTTTTCTGTAAAAAAAGAAGCACTACTGAAATAAAAGAAAAAAAAAATAATACTCTACCTCTCCCTTCCCAGGCTTCGAAAGCATCCATCATCTTTTTCAACTCAGCTACTGAGTAATAGCTCCAGATGTATTGGACATTATTTCCAGCTTCTCTAGAAATATTGTTTTAAAGGTAACAGTTATGTGGTAAATCTAGCTAAGTCTTTAAAAATATAACACCGGTGAAATGTATCATTCTTTTTAGCAAATTCTAATTATAAGGACTTAAATGTTTGGTAAAGTAGAAAGGAAAATGTTACTTAAATTTTATTTTCATTGTATAGTGGGTTCTAAATAGCCCTCCTCCTACGATTTTCATGCCTATAAACATCTATTGCTAAAAATGGCTATTTGTGAAAGAATAGATGTTCATAAAAGAATAATTACAGAATTAATGATCTAAAATCTATTCTTCTAAATCTCAATCATTTATTCAAAGGGAAAACACAGTAGGAGGACAGATACCTCATACTATGTGTCCAAATACTCTGGAATCAATGGTCTCAGCCTAAATTTAGGAAAATATGCATCTTAATTATAAAGATGATGAAATATCAAAAACTGTCTTAATCATGGTTCAGAAAGTACACAGTGGAGTACACTTTTTGACACTGTACTGTGAGACTGAAAGACAAATTGCTTCCAGACACTCAAAAGTACAGGTCTAACAGTAACTTATAATCACTGTCATAAAAATATGTTGATAGTATAGTAGAGATGTGCATGTTCATTAAAGAATTAAAGCCATTTCCTTTCATCTTCAGTTCTTTTTGGTGTTAAATACTTCTTTCAGCTGTCTTAGAAGACTGCAAAATACAGTTGCATGAATCACAACCACCTTTGTGAATATTTCTGGAACTTTTTCTGGATTCACTGTACTTAGTGTAAATATCCTAGATTAGAAAGTAATTTTAAATGGTTGAGACATTTTTAAAATAGCAAGTAAAATACAATGAGAATTTATAGCAACTGCACACTAGCCACCTTTTGTGGACTCTCAAATTCTTGTACTCCATGCTTAGTTTTTATCTTTTTGTTTGTTTAATGTGACCATTGTATTAGCCAGCTGTTTCTGAAGCTGGAAAGAATCTGTTTCCTTCCACATATTTATAGTACAATAATGCTATATTATACTACATATATTAATATTTAGGTATTACTATAACATGTGAGTGTTCATTCTCACTTCACTGTATTTTCATTTGTTTGACAGTCATCTTACCTTTTGTAAATGCTTTTACTATGAATTTTCGTTCCTAGCTCCTTATTAATTGCATCAGTCCCATCAGCTCTTGTGGCATATACACCAATAATTTTACTTTCACAGCTTGCTCCAGAAGTGTTGAGATAGTGCAGGACCCAAACTGTAGGCTTGGTACAAACTAAGTCATAAGAATCACAGAAATCTAACAAAGCCTGGAAAAAACAAAACAAAAAATACATAATGTTAACAAGAATACAGTATTTTCAGTTGAATAAGCTTAAGTTTTCTTAACTGTATTGGTGAACTCTTTTAAGTAAATCAAGGATGTAGTTTACAATAATGTGTGCAGTATTTCTTATCTGATGTTAACAGCATATTGTAAAACTAACAGAAATTCAGAGAAAGGCAACAGAAACCCTTAAAGGCATGGGTAATCCCTAATATGAAGAGAAACGAAAAGGTCTGGAAATGTTTTATGCTTTTCAAAATGAAATGCATAAGGGAGAATGTGAAATATGTGGAACAATACCTTACTAAGAGAACATGGATGACTGTCAGGACTAACACTGCCAGACCTAGTAATATGAGTTAATTTCCAATCAGTTAGTTAGATTTAGCTTGTAAGTTACAATACTCTAAAATAGGATTTTAAATAATATATTAATTTTCTTTTCTCCTTTCTCGTTCTAAAAAAATGATAAAGTACATTTTGTCTTTCACATTTTAGGGTGAATGTGTAAAACTGAAAAAAAAAACAAAAACAACCCAAACATCTTGAAGGGATCAAATCTAATCTCAAGTAAAATTAGAAGCCAATTAGGGAACTAAACAATGTCATTCCTACTACACAAGCTTTACAGCAGACTTGCATGTAAAACAGAGTCAAATTTAAACTGTTGCTGTATTGCAGTGATGGGGAAAGCCCATGTCCTTAACTACTATAACTGCATTATCAGCTCTAGGGTTTCTTAACCTAGAACTCTGAATATACTGGTGATTTAACATGGTGATTAAAAAGAAATAACTCACATACACTACAGTTATAGTATCTGATGCTAATGAATGGTATTGACTCGAGAGTACATCTTTAAAAATGTAAGAAATGTCAAGACCTTTTTAAGCTCTATATTTGACCTTAAAGAATATGTCTCCATTTCATTGGCCAAATGGTCAGACAGACTGTATGGATAAGGGATGCCAAAATAATCTGCTTCCTCCTGCAGTGCAATTCGAATTCGTTCATCTCCAGGAATCCGAACTTCTCCGTGAAGATAATCCAAAAGATATTTAAACAGGCTTCCATCTCGATCAATTAGACATGCTCCTAAAAACATAAATAAAAAAACTATTTAAAATATCTCTTCCAGCAAGCGAAGACAGACTTGCCACATTCTATCAAATTATCAAGTAAAGCTTTTATATAAAACTTCTGTACTAGTTTTGCTTACTTAGGAAGAGCAACTATGCTGTCTCTATTCTTTTAAAATTACTATTTTGTTTCCCTGGAATATCTGTTATTTGAAGATAAATTTCTTAGTGCAGTAAACGTTTCTTTGGAATTTCAGTGGAATCACTAATCTGCAGAGGACCATGCCAACAACAACCTCAGCTGTACTGCACTCCATTTAAAATGCTAAAATCTAATTCTAGATTCATTTCTAATTGTAACTGCAGATATATCTTTTCTCGCTATTGCAGAGATTTTTTCAATTTTGGATCTAGGCATTTTAAGAGTTAGATGTAGCATCAGCTCCAGTACACCTTTAGTCTAATGTTTCCTAAATATTGCTCAAGTTTTAAAGTTTTTTTTTTTTGTTTCTTTTTCTCTCCTTTGCCTGCTGGGCTCAAGACCGCTAGGGAAACTAGCAAAACTATACAGAGCTGTATACAATTGGCTGTTCACTGCAACTGAAACATGGTAGCAAATCCCTGCCCATAAGAATGCTAAACATTTCAGAAATTTTAAACAGTCAAAAGTGTACAATATCTTTAAACTGGACATACTTTGGCAGTATTTCCAAGTCACAAACGAGTGTGAAATTTGATCCATGAATAGTTTTATTCAAACTTTCATATCAAGCCATGGTGGGGAAAATGCAGTCTTTACTGGATAATGAAGTATTCTGAAACAAAGATTAGACCCAGATTTCCTTGTGTAATGAACAGAGAGAGTGAGATGTCTCTGGAGAATATAGGCGTTCATAGACAGCATCCAAGTTAAATGCCAAATACTCTGCCAGCTTCAATTTTATTTATTTTCATATTCATACTAAAGAAGTACATTCTAAAGCCACAGCTTGGACTGGGACAAGGCAGGGGTAATCACTGTACAAACATGTGTTTGCAAACATGAGTAGTCTTGTGGAATTCAGATTAATTACTCATAAAGTCATGCATGCATAACTCACGTCCTGGAATTAAAGAAGCCAACTGATTCTCAGCAGATTGGAAAAAGGGAGATACTATAAAAATGCATAAATATATATAAAAGCATGTGTTTACCACAGAGCTCCCTGATCAGAATGTCATATTTACAGCTTGAACATATTTACCTGATTGATCCACTTTTAGAGGAAAGCGTCCACTAAACATAGAAGCTAACATTGAATCCTTAAAGCGGCATAAAGACTCACGCCTGGCTGTGTATAAACATCCTCGCACATTAAGTCGTAGAATACCCTGGACATCTTCAATCTTGCCCTCTTCCATTGCATTTGCAAATGATGATGTTAATTATGAGCTATTTAAACCTGAAACAGATACAAACAAGAGTAAATCTAATGCCAGTTAAGACTAAACATATACACTAGACTGAAGCATTAGTTCAGCTCTTGCATGGTTGTTACACAATACTGTAAACTTTGAAAACAGTTCTAGAGACGTACTAGTGCAAATAACCAAATATTCTACACCTTTACTATAAAAAACTATGGCATTTTACTTTGCTAGAAACACAAAGGTGAGCAGAATTACATGGTCAGTATGTGTGAGCAGAGCACTGGAAGAGCATTCTAGGAAATCTTGCTTTGAATATAGTTCACAGCACTAAAAATGCAGTAATTTTGTACTAATAACAACCTGCTTCTCTAAAATCTGATCTTTAATTAGGGCTGCTTTAGCTAGCTGTTGAAGCAGTCACATCATTAATGCCACATTGCCAATAAATACTCTTACTTATGCCTGCCTTGTGCTCCCTGGAGGAAGGAGTCCTGTCTGGGCAGGAAGAACTGGTGCAAGCAGCAGAAGAAAATCTTCAAAACGTGGCGGGTTTTCGGTTTGGTGTTTTTTTAAGAGCACGCCTTTAGAGGCTTACCAACACCCAACTCGGCATCTTTCACCCAGGCACCTGCTATTGTTTCATCAAAATTAACTGCTGAACTGGCAGCCTGCGGGGGAGCCGGCCGGGCCTTCCCTGCCTCCCCCCGCTCCGTGGGGCGCCGCTCCGCCACACACGGGAGAAGCCCGCCCCCACCCCTCCGGTAGCCACCCGGGGAAGGCGGCTCAGGTCCGCGCCCGGGGCCGCCCGGGGGCAGGGGTCTCGCCGCGGGGCGAGGGCGGTCGCCGTCCCGCGT